ATAAATATCTTAAATACTATTTCACCAAAAAAAATGATAAGAATACACATAAAAAATAAAGACAACAATGAATGGTTCGATCAAGAGTTAAAAGACTTGAAAAAGTGGCGCAATGATTATCATTATGATTACGCAAAAACATACAATATAACAATTTTTCAAATGTTTAAAAAAACGAGAAGAGATTAATTTATTTTAAAAAACGAAAAACAAACAAGTTTTTTGAATAATAAAGAACCGAAAAATTTTAATAACTCCAAAGACTTTTATGTCTTCTACTCAAAATTCATTAAAATTAAATCAAGCTTTGAAGATACTTCTTTTCCTGATTTTCTACTTTACGATAACTAGAAAGCATACTCAAACGTCGAGAAGTCATTATTTTTTAATAAATTCTTTAGGACATTTAAATCTAATTTCAATTGTATACAAAATGATTCATATAACTTTATTAACAACCACTTCGATAATCTTCAAATAACTCATAATATTAAAAAAAAATTATTATATTTCTCATTTTATCCTATTAATAAATATGAAATATTAATATTAATGAAATCGTCGATGCAATAAAAAACTTAAAAGAAAAAAGTAGCTGTGGTTATTTAAATATTCCATAAAAATTATTAAAAAATCATATGATTTAATCGCTGATCCATTAATGATTATATTCAAAAAATGTTTAGAAACAGGTTGTGTTCTAAGGGAATTTAAAATAGGTAGCGTTATGCCACTTTATAAACAGAAAGGTTATATACACAATGTTAATAGTTATCGAAGTATTACTATAATCTCTCCATTAACAAAAGTGTTTGAACGAATAATTGTTAAAAGAATAACTACATACTTTGAACAAAATGATTTATTCAATGATGATCACCACGGTTTCAGATGTAATCATTCATGCGAAACTGCGTTGCACGTTCTTATCTCTAAAGTAAAACTAAGCAACTCCAAAAAACTCTTTACATTATTATTATTTATCGATTTTAGAAAAGCTTTTGACTTAGTAGATTCCAAATTATTGATCATGAAACTTAAGCATTACGGTTTTTCAACTGATGCTTTAAACCTAATAAGCAACTACTTTCATAATAGAAAAATATTTACAAAAGTTATAGATGCATACTCTAATGAAGAACAAGTTGATATCGGTATACCACAGGGTTCAATTTTAGGACATCTTTTTTTTTGGTTTTCATAAATGACCTACCCGAATATCTAACGCAATTTGAATCAACATTATTTGCAGATGATGATAAGCTCTAATGATAAGTGATAGAAAGAGAAACCATCTAATTACAAAGACTAAGTCAGCATTTAATAAATTTACCGAGTGGTGCTATGCTAATAAACTCGACATCAATTCGGATTAAACAAAAGCAATGATTTTAACAAATAAACATACAACCAAAATAATACTGCCAACATCAATCATATTAGGTGATAAGTTCCAAATGGAATTAGTAAACTCATTTTCTTTGCTTGGTGTCATTATTTACAGCAAATTACATTTTACCGAACACATAAAAGAGATAAAAGCAAAAGCTTATAAAAAATTATTCTGAATAACTAATATAATTGGTTTTGCCTTTAAAGTTCGTTTACAATTTTTCAAAAAATTTATTCTATCTAACTTTGGTTACTGTTCAAGTCTTAAGGTGAGTTTCCACTCATCCTTTTTTCTACGGGAACGGGATAAGAAAGGGAAAAATAATCACGCGAGCATGCGTAGTTTTACTTTGGACAAATTAAAACTTATAATACGCATGCCCACGTGATTATTTTTCCTTTCCCTTTCCCGTTCCCGTGAAAAAACGGATGAGTGGTAATTCACCTTTATAACTTACTACACAAGAAAAGAAATTCAAAGCCTGGGCAATGCATACTATATGATTTTAATCTTACTACTCAAAATTAATATTCAAAACAAAGATATATTTCAAATAAATCAACAACTTAAACCATACAACCTACACAGCTTTCATCATCGATTTATATGCAGAGCACTACAACTATACAATAAAATAATTTATTACAAGGAACCGATTATTTAAACAATTTAATTTTATTAACATTGATAATATCAAGTACAATACTAGAAGTAAAAACAGTATCCAACAGTAAAAATATCCAACAAACATGATAAACAGACATTTAAGACTTTTTTCAGAAATATAATTAGCAAGAATTGCAATAACAACATTAAATTAAAACCAAAAGAATTTAAGGATCTATTTTTAGTAGATAATATCAACGCAATTATATAGAATTATTACCAACATTAGGTTTGATGTCAACATAAACAGATTAAATAACTATATCGACTTCTACATTAGCAAAAAAATTAGAAAAAAAGAAAGACTAAACATTATTTAAAATTTTTAATATCCTATATATTGTATTTATAATAACTTTTTATTATACAGTTACTTATACTACACTTCTATGGTAAAAGACATATAGTTCATAGAATAGAAGTTAAAAAAAAAAAATTTAAAGCTCGTAACTACCTTAATAAAAATTGATTAGGCCAACTTTATTACTCTTTTATCCAAAGTTACATATACATTATTAAGTTACATTATGCTAACACTGCTTGGGGAAGTACTGTTAGAAGTAAATTAAAACTTCTTTATCGTCGTCAAAAACATGCGATCCGCATAATTTTATTTACTTTTTCACTTGTATTTTATGTATTTTTTCACTTGATAATATACTTAGATACTTCTAATATTTTGAAAATTGTTATTAAACTTGAGTTTTATTACTTTTTTATATTTTAACTTTACTTTATTTTTTGTATGTTATATTTTTCTTTATTTTGCTTGCTTGTATTTTATAAGCTTCTAACGAAAAGATCTTGTGATCTCTTCTCAGATTCTAGCTTATGTTTAATTGTTAGCCATTTATATATGTGCGCATCTATACATCTGTAAGTGTATATATGCTTGTATTTATATAGTGAGTATTTTTCTTATACTAGTATTGGAATTTTTTTAATTGCAACACCATATATACGACATATAATTGTACTGTGACATTTTAATGTAGGCGAAATAAAAAAAAAGTAACAAATCAGCGAAAGATGACAAAAAATTGGAGCGAAAATGAATAGTAGTATCAAAAAAGATCACTAAAAACAAGATCCAGGCCATAATGACACATACCCTCAAAAAAATTCAATTTCTTTTTATGCATTCTTAGAAATTGGTATAAAATAATTTAAAACTTTACAATACAATAACTTTCATAATGAAAAAAAATTTGGAACTAATTTGTTTAGTACTTCTCGAGTTATTGCTAAGTATATTCGGCCAAAGTCAAACCGATAAGTGTGCTTTAAATAAAGTTCTCACATTTGGTCGTTACATTTCAAAATTATAATATATCTATTTAAAAATGGATGTAGCACACTAGTCATTTTAACAAATTTAGTTGCTCCTGAAATAAACATGCTGGTCACAGAGCCGTTATAAATAGTCATCAAGACTTTTAAGTGTTTGCTCAAACAAAATATATTAACTTTGCGGTCAAAAAGCATTTTGTATTAGAGGCCCACTCAATTTTTAGGTTGCCGAATAGTTACTTGCATCTATTCAAATATAGTTTACTAAATTTAGTATTTTTCTTAAGTTCTTCAATACACATATTTTTTATCCGCGATATCTTCCTCAGCGGAAATAGCGGCCCCATTACCAATAAAAGTGGAACCATCCTAGAAACTGCTGTCTCTTTCTGTTGACTTGCAAGCTCTGGGTATTAAGTTGCATCTGACAAGTTCTGAAGCTACTGTTTTAGCCGCCACGGGTATCATGGTATCTTTTATTTCTGCTGCGCTATGGATATCCCTTTTTGATTGCTTGCAAATGCGTTTTTCTGTTTGAATTGTCATGAAGATAGCCGAAGAACTTACTGTAAGGCGGTATCGTCAGTCAAGGTTTTTTTTATAAACCTTTTTTATAGGCCTACACGTTTTTTATAGTAAACAGCTTCGGTTTAAGTCTGCATTTATTTTCAGTTTATCCCCTGATTTTTTTTTTAATGCGGACTCCGCACTCTGCTACTACATAATGTATATTATATTTTGTCTTTATATTATAATTTGTTAATATCTAGTTGTGTGATGGCAAATATTTATATGTAGAGTTTGTGCAATACACATAAATCCCATATAGCTTTGCCAATTAGAGTGACGAAGTATAAGGATATACTTGCAAGGTTCAGACTGTACAGCATACCCCCAGTTATAAAACAACCTCTTTAAGATCTTTAGCATGATAAAGTTATAGCCTTGGCCGAATGGTGGAAGTAAAATTCTTAACATTAGCAGCCTGTACCTAAACCAGCTCAGAAATTTCATATTTAAAAATCTTATGTTTTGAAAATTTTTCAGGAAAAATTATATAAAAATTTAATAAGGGAAATGTTCGTTATCGAAAGCTCAATTTGGCGTCTTTTTTTTTGGTTATCAAAGTGCTCAATGAAGTTCTTACGGTTTTATCACAGAGCACCATGGTAGAGCATTTTCTTTACTAATGTCGCTTAACAGGTCAGAGCTGGCATAGGACCTTTTGGCTCTGAGCCAGAACTGTCAGGTCTGCTGTCGGTCATATTAACGTGTTTCGTTATAAATAGTATTCGCTCAATACCATCTATTATGTGAGAAGAGTTATATTAAAACGCTTGCTTACATACCGAAGCAGTCAATCATTAACGTTAAAAACGAAGAAATACCTGGTAGCTTTCAAAGATCGCAATGAACTATAATAATCAATGAGAAAAAGTATTGCAAACATCTCGGAGAGTTAAACTTCACATGAATCAGCTTTTCTGTGAAAGATAGCAATGTTGGAAAATTTAAACCCCCAAATCCAACCCTCTCAGTTAACATCTTCGGATGGCAAATATATATATAACCTTATACCCAATACATTTTTCGAAACAGAAAGGCTTTGCAGTTAATCTGTTCCACATAAAAATAAAAAACACATTAACAATTTGTGAAATAATTTTCTGTAATTTCTTTTTGCAAATTAAAAATAAAATTCAAACATTTACATAAATATTATTCTGATATTTATTTACTGTCAAGTATCAAAAGTCTTTATAAAACGAACAGCTTTTAAAATTAAAGTAAAAGTAAGAAATTTTTTTAGGTGTTTTTTTTGATTTTAAGGTAAAAAGACCAGCGCAATGCTATCAGTAAAAAGTAGTAGGAAAACGATTATATTTATATTTTTTTAATACGCTTCCCTATTCATCTTTAACGAATTTTCTATTCAGTTAATGGCACCGATATGGTTTTACCTTTCGGATCATCAAAACGATCTTGAGTTTGAATGGCGGAAAGCATTCCTATTCCGACCACGAGTCCAATAATCATTACAAAAACAGTCATAAGACCGGTAAGAATCTCGAGTGTAAAGAAACCAGTGCAGCTATAATCAGTAGAAAATACCCGAAAACCACTCATTCCAGGCTCCAACTAAAAAAAAAAACTAAAATATTTAGTACGAAGTTGCATTTTAATTAAAAAAGTTTTAAAACCAAATAGCTATATTTTAGTATTGAATTTAAAGAATTGTTCTTAAAATAAAACTAACCAGCTGATGCGTAAAATGAAATAACTTCTTTTTGATAAAGAAACATCGAATAAAAAACCACTAATTATATAAATAACAAATTTTGACCAATATACACTAATATATGGCAAATTAGTTACAGAGTTGTAAACAAGGCCAAGGCCAGAGTTGTAAACAAAGCCAAAAGTAACAAGGCCAAGGCCTCAAGTTACATGGCCAAGGCCAAGGCCAAGAGCTTTGAGGTCAAGGCCAAGGTTAAGAGTTTCAAGACCAAGACGTACGTAAAGTTTTTTTTAGACTTAAGACTTCAATTTTTGCAATACGTTAAGGCCAACTCTTTAAAAAATTGTAAGTAGCAAGTACTGTGAAAATAAAACCACATTTTGTAAAAATAAACCAAATTTATATGCAGAATTCAACAAAATCAATAAAAAAAAATTTTTTTTTGGCCAAGGCCAACATATTTAAAGCCAATTTTTGGCCTTAAGGCCAAGGCAAGGCCAAGGACTAACAACTCTGATCAGTTATAACTTTTCAAGTTTATCTTATTATGTGCATTTAAGGATATAATTTTTCATTATAGAAGTTTTGAATTGAAATTAGATTTTTTCTTTATACTCGAATAGTTTCTATAATACCTTTCCAGTATAAAAGCGAATTAGGTAATGTAAATTGTTGTCGGAGAAAATAAAATGTCATGTGAAAAAAAATTAACATTAAAAAACTAACCTGCAAATCACGGATTGTTAATATGTAATCTAATGATTTAAATTGTATGTCTGAACACGTGTACGAAAAGTCGTAAGGAGCACGAACAGCGAAATATGTATCACTTGAGAAATCACGGTGATCGCAAGGGAAAAAAGTTTGGATTTCTGTTTTGTTTATCATAGCATTGACTGTTATATTTAAACATGTCCAATACAAAGTCTGATTTTCAAAGCCCATTTCGATTCTAAATAGAAAATCATATAAATATATATACATGAAAAGCATTTTTGCATTACACTTTTATTTTTTAAATAACACTGCAAATGATCTATCATGGACATTTGAACTAAATCAGAAATTTTTTGGCTGTTAAAAAGCGAAAGTTGGTAGAGAAAAAAAAAGCGTAACAAAAAAAATAACAAAATAATTTTTGGTTGAATGTTTTTAATATAGGCAATTATAAAGTTGCAAATGAATTTAAAACATTGTAAAATTTAACCCATATTGTGTGGACATATTTATGCTTACATACAAAAATATACACACAGAATAATTTTAATTAAAATATTTTACTTACTTTAGACTAAGTTTGTCATCATTATTTTTGGTCTCCATTGAAATGCTAAAAAGAAAATAGAAATATTTTTTTTTTATTAATAACATTGATAAAAATCCTAACCATAAACATGATCATAATCCTTGCCATAAACTGTATTATAGGTAACTTCTTTAAATTGTATAAAAACTTTAAAATTATAGTCTTCTCCAAGATAAGTTTTTGCCGCAGCTAAAGTCTTTACCAAACCCTAATTTTAATTGTTGTTTAGTTTGCATTTCGTTTCTTTTTAGTATTTTTATGAATGTATATTTTTTTAAACAAAAATTTATCAACTCAAATTCTTGAGATAAACCTAATCTTGTTCTTCTGTTCTTGTGATGATTCTAAAACATGAACTCTATAATAGAAATTCAATAAAATAATGTACCAAAAAAAATTAGGAGCATAAATGATTTTAATTTTTAAATTGTTTTAGCGTCAAAAAATTAATGTAAATCAAATCATGGCTAAAACCTTTACAAAAAAATTAACTTTTAATTAATTTAAATTGAAATAGATATTTTGTGATTTTTTTTTTATAAATAGAATTATCAAAAGAAACAAATATTTTGAATTAAATTAAATTCAGTCAAACTTTGAATTCAATTCAATTCAATTCTTTTAATCAAATTAAGATCAGGTTCAAGATCATCATGATCACCCTGCTACTAGTACCATGCCTCTTAGTGATTGCTTTTCAGGCATCAGACTCAATCAACTTACTCTTTGTTTTTTATTGTTCTCCTTCTTCAAGACTGCACTCTATTAGATGTATTTTCTGATGAAATTGACCAGGCCCTTTCTTTTTACCCATCTACCCAAATTGGTGTTATTGGTAACATTGCTTATCACACTAAATGACTTGGTTCACCACTGAAGCCCATAACTTCTGTATTTCTCAATTTCTTACTCAGATATTTAGCTTTTTGACTTGTTTTCCAGACAACCCAAATCATTTACCTTTACTCCTTGATTTGCGTCTTGTTACTAACCCTAGCTTGTATTCCAATTTTCCTTGTTCTACTTTAGGTGGTTCCAATCATACAATGATCTCTATAAATCTTTTATCTCGTACTTCTTCTTCAAACTAATCCTATCATCGCTAAACTTACTACTAAACTAAAGCTAACTGGAATTCTTTTTTTTTCTAACAGTTCTTCGCCTTTCATCTCTCTGCTGATAAATGCACCTTATACATAACCTTGTGGATCCAGGCAGATATAAAAGCTTTTATTACTTCTTGCTGATTTCAAGTCAAGCCTTATTCGACTCCTTGGTTTTCACTGTCCTGTGCAGCTCGTATATTTAATCATAATCATTTTTTAAATATATTTTAAAAGAATAACTTTCTTAAGAACAAATAATTTTTACGCCCTATTAAGAACAAACCCTTTTTTTCACCGATTTCTTGCAATAACAAAGACGCCTATTTATTATTGCAAGAAAAAGTGTTAAAAAAAAGAAAAGGAGTTGTCTACAAATTATGTCATGCAATTTTTTAGTAACAAGTCCTATACTAGTCTTTACAAAACCACTAAGCCTCCCCCTTCCTAGAGGGCTATTTGATTTATGAAAGATCCTCAAGGTACTGTCTTATGTTTAGCTCCATTATTTCCAATTTACTAAATCTTGCATCTTATCTCATAAGTTAGGCTCTATAAACTTTTGGAAAATCTTCAACAGTTACATTAACAAAAGTGAGTCAAACTTTCCATCTTCAACTCATGGATCTAATTTTATTACCTTTTACCAGGATAAGGCTGAACTACTTGTAAAGAACTTTTCTTTTAACTCGACTCTTGATATAAATGGCCACACTCTTCCTGCCATTTTAGTTAAAACAGGTAAAACCATTGCTAGACATCAAAATCACTTACATCTCTTACTGAAGTCAATTAAACTTTTAATTATGAAGCCTAAATTAAACTCTTTTCTGTGGTCCAGACAAAGTTCTTGCCATAGTCTTTCAAAAGTCTCCAGAACTTTTTTCAGTTCTCAATTCTAAACTATTCAAATTTTAATTTTAGATTATGTAATAAGTGTTTGACTAAATCTTACTTTCCTGCCAGCTGGAAAATAGCAACTGTCAGGCATGGACAGGAAGGCGTGCGTTTGAACGCTATTGCTGACCATGCAAATGACTTTTTTTATTGACTGTTTGACCACGACTGTTTAGATGTTTTGATGAATTAAACATTTCAGAAATGCACTGAAAAAAGAAATGCTACGCTAAACTAGGAAAAAACTTAAAAAAAACTAAAGAATAAAAACAACTCTTTACAAAAAACAAAATATATAAGCTTTAAAGTAAAACTCAAACTCCAAGTGAAAATTATTCTTTGTTTCATTTTTAAATGCATTTAAAATTACTTAAAAACTTATCTTTAGAAAACATTTTATTAAAGTTATGCAAAATGCTTTTACAAATTACTTTTATTGATTGTTTAATAAATGGAGTAATTTTATTTAAATTATTAATAAGTGAAATTAAATTATTGAAAAGAAAAAAATATAATATTTTTAATTCGTATAAATACTTTTTTCAAAAAGTTACAAAAAAAAAAAAAAAGTTATATAAAAAAAAATGCAGTCTTTTCAAAATAATTTTTAATAATTTCACACTTTGATTAGAAACTCAAGTTAAAAAAAAATTTTTAAACAATTATTTGTAAAAATAGAAACAAAAAAAACATAGCAATTAAATCATTCCATTTCAATGGAAAGATTTAATTTAACTTATTCATGATTTAAAATTTAAAACTTAAAAAAATAATCTTTTGAGAGATTTTTAGAAATACCTAGTAAAATAGTTTCAAACGTTTAAATATATCTTAAAAAATACATGTCAATTAAAAAAAAAATTTAATATAACTTTAATTTATACAAAATGTGTTTATTTTAAACCTCAATTTTTGATGTGCGATTTTTATATTTAATATACCATCATATTTAATTTTTTATTTTATTTAAAGCTTTTATGTAAAATAAAAACTTTGAAAAAGATCAATTAATCTTTGATTAATATAATTTGATTTTTTATTCTGATTTTTTTTATTACCTTCAAATTGATAAAACATCAAAACAGCAGTGGTCAAATTGTAATGAAAACAAAACTATAAGCATTGTCAATTACAGCGTGCGAACATATGTCATTCCTGTCCAAGTCTGAGCTGAGGTTCCACTTTTTAAAAACTCTGGAAAACATTCTTACTCCTCAAACTACTGTTCAATCAGTCTTCTCTCTATTATTAGCAAGGTCTTTGAATCTTTAAGCAACAAATTTCTGACATCTCATCTTGGTGTAATAACTTCCTGACAACCAATATGGTTTTTAATTTATGTGTTTTATGGCTGACTAACTATTCTGACTGAAAAATCTTATCCTGCATTAAATTGAGGCAACAAAGTTTGGCACGCTGACTTTCTCCATAAGCTTATTTGTGTTATCTATTGTCTATTTATATATTTATTTATTAAAAGCTCTAAAAATGTGTTGAAAATGTAGTTGGACCTGCTTTAGCTACCGAGCTTAAGCCTCTCTCCCGTCGTCTCAAGGTTGTATCTCTTTCTCTTTTTTAAAAATACTATCATGGTCACTGCTTAAAAGAGCTATCATCTCTAGTTCCATCAACCAAAACTTATTTATGCTTGACTTGTCATTCAGCAAAATTGCATCCTTTGACTGTATCTGTCCCTGCATGCTCTAAAAACTTTTATTTGAAAGAAAAATAATATCAAAACAGTTTTTAAAATAATGAAGATCATTTTATTTTGTTTTATTATGTGGAAATCATTTTCATCTTATTAAAAAAATATGAATAAATATTAAATATAAAAAATTATTGATTACACTTTCTTATAACCACACAAATAGTATTTTGTTTTAACAATTTGACCACGGTTTTTCAAATTTTAAAAATGCATTGAAATAAATGGTTTTTAATTACGTTAAAAATAGATAAGTTTGACACGTTTATCTACACTAACGTTTTTATATTAGCAAAACGTTTTAAATAAAGTAATTAAAGATTTTAATTAAAGTATAAATGAAAGTTGTATAAATTTTCATATTAATTTTATAAGATTTTTTTATAATAAATGTAAATAAAAATAAAAATAATTCAAATTTTATAAGCGTCAACTTTAAATATACAATTGTCTCTTCAATAAACTTAATATAAGAACCATTAAGGTAATACACTTGAAATAAAGATAAACTTTGTTGAGAAAAAAAACAAAGACAAACATTTTTAAAAGCCGTTTGAATTAAATAACTTTGATCTTTTAGAATATAAGTTAGTTGAAGTCTAGTTTTAAATATTATTTACTCAATTAAAACTTTTACTTTACAAATAAAAAATAAAAATTTAATTCATTCAGAATATGATATAAATATAATAAACGAACAAATTTAAATTTAGTAAATAGTATAATTAGCATTCAGCGCGGATTATAGTGGTCGCAGAAAAATTATGGCTGCCGCACTATTTTTTGTAACTTTACAAAGACAACACATTTCTGATAAAAGAAACAATTTTATTATTTTTTCTTTTGTTTATGTTACTGCAAAGAATTGTTTAGATTTTTTTTTTTAACTTTTAAATGCGCATATTTATCAAACAATTGTTAGAAGTAAGATAAACAATTAAAAGTTATTTATTACAAACATAATTTAAATAATCTTATCGCTATAATTTATTATTTTAGTTAAATTTAAAATTTATTTTTTTTTGATTTAAGTTTTGATTAAATTACTTTTATTTTATTTCTCGTTATTATTTTTATGAAAATTTATACACTTCTTTTAGAATAAGTTTTTTTTTTTTTAAAGTTTTGTTATAGTTAAAATTATTTTTTGAGCATATTTTAAAATGTGTAAAAATTTTCAAAACATCTTAACAGCTATGGTCAAGTTTTCAAGATCAAATAGTATTTGCGAGGTCATATCAAGTCATAAAATCGCACGCCTTCCTAGCCAAGCCTGATTATATAAAATATTTAAAAAATTAAAGAAAAAAAAATTT